GTGTTGTCTCTTTCGCTTTCATCTGTTCAAATTGTTCCTTTTCACATTTTCCACTCCTGCAGATAGATATATGGCTTTATTAATTAAGCAAGCATGTCTGATGCTGTTATTTCTGGCTATGGTGTTTAATTTTTAAAAAATTATACTCTGTTCAGAGATCTGTAATTACACAGGTTAACATATGTTGTGTCACATCAAAACCATTGTCTGAGTTATGAGCAGTTCAGAATGAATGCTCAGTAAAAGCTGCAGAAGCACTTTATTGGCTTGATTTATGTGATTGCTTTGCGTTTCCTGATTTCTGCAGTGAGGGATCTAGATAGCTCCTTCCTACATTTGTGAAACCAGGCTGCGTGCTTAGTGTAGTTGAGACTTGAGTAGTACATGGAAGTAAATAGTTTGTCTAGACCCTGATTTACTCAAGTGAAAGGAGTGGGCTGGGAGCATGCACTGGAGGCTTCAACTGGCAGCTGCTTTATTTTGCTCTGCCCAAGGATTAATGCCAGGGACTTAATGCATGGGTTAAACATGTTATCCATGTTCCAGTAGGGTTGCTTCTCCATGGGAAGAGCAGCAAGCTGTTTGCTGGCTGTCCAGATATGGAAGCAGAGAGCTGATCCTTGGAGGGATGTGGAAGATGTCCAAGGAGAAGCCACAGCATGTCAGGAATGTGCCAGTGGTGGCCAGGGTCCATCCTTCACCAAGAAGTGGCAGCTCGTAGTGAGACAAGAGCTCCTAGGGAGCTAGCACTGCCATCCTCTTGCCTTTACAGCAAGGCAGGCAGCGTAGGCCTTCTCATTTCTTTTGTGTGTACAGGGCATAGTAAATTTAAGGTAAGAGTTTATAAGCATTGATACCTGTATGAATTGGAAAAGTACAGAAAGTGTAGAAGTTGCACAACAAAGGGTTTTCTTTGCAGTGCTGCTTGTGGTGTATTGTAAGATCACTGAGGTTGCAAGGAATTTTGCTTTAAAACAAGTTTTTGAGTTTGTTTAATTCAGTGTGTGAACAGAGCACAGTCAGCCGCATACCAGGTCACTGAAGTCCTCAAATGGAGCAAGTAGTGCAAAAAATGCTCTCTTCTCACATGTCTGCAAACACATCGATACCTACATTGTTCTTTGATATTTATATGTTACGGTACTTGTTTAATTTATCTCCATCCACTGTTGGTAAAACTGCTCTCTGATTTCCAACAACATGGGATTGCTTTGTATTTCAAACTACAAAGAAAAGCTTTATTTGTGCTATAAAAGTTGAAACTTTTAAATCTTTAATTTCTCTCTAAGCATGTTGCATGCAAGTTGTTAGCTCAAGTGCATGGAATGTGAATGAAAATTGAATGAAAATTCTTTTTTTTTTTTTTTTTCCACACCATCCTTTCTCCCACCCCTTAGTCTTTTCCTCCAAGTACTTTAATATATGATGGCTTTTTTCAGTTTGGTGTGTTTTGTGAACCTGACTTGTCTGCTCAGAGCACCTGTGCCATGAAGGCTGTGTTAGCTTTTTTTGCACTTGCTGCGTTGTCCAACCACAAGTGCATTCACATGTTTGAAGAATGATCTGGCTTCTTTGTTCCTAACAATTGAACTTGAAATAGCCTAGGGAGGAATATTTAGGGCAAAACTCGTGTGGTATTGAAGGCTGAATTCTATGCTGCCTTGCAAAAATTTAAAATATATGCTCTTAGGACATAAACTATCTTTAGGTCTGACTAAGCCAGAGATGTATTTATGAGCTTGGGGCAGGTTTTGTAGTTTGTGAGCTACCTTAGTTGGATTGGTGGTGTGTGGTGTCCTGGAATGTGTATTTTTTTTATGGTGCTTAGCCAGCTATTTACCTGAATCCCTTACCACAGGAAACCTGGGTTTAAGTTCTGCCTAAGGGTGTCGGGCAGAGCGATAGTTCGGGAATTGGCTTGAAGAGAGTTCATGTAAAGATACGCGTGTCACCTTCGTCAGGCTTGTGCTTGCTTTTCTGAGTCTTGCCAATAAATGGATATTGGGATCTTTAACAGCAATACCTTGAACTTTTAGGACAGAAGAGGTCGTTTGGGGTGACTTACAGTGGGAGTGGAATTGAGGGGCTTCATTCTAGCCTCTGCTTAGGTCATGCTCATCACAGGTGCTCTGGCGAGTCCACATTGTCTGGTTTGACAAGACTGGCTGTGATATTGCCAGTGTAATGGGAAAAGACTCTGGCACTGCAATGAGGTTATCAGTACGTACTGATGTGGCTTTTGTACTGCAAGCCTGTGGCACTGTTCTGTAGTTGGAGTCTGTGTGCCTCCCTGAAACAGAATCAAAGAGAAACATTAATTGCAGCAAACAGTTTACAAGTAAAAAGCTTTTCTGGTAAGTGGCTCTGAAGTGATCTGGTCCAGGGCTGGTGTGGAGCATTTCAAATGTGGGGAGGCCATTGAGAGCCCTGGGAAGTTACCTTGTCTGCTCTCTTTATGACTTTGACTAAATTATATGCACTTCTGTATCTCAGAAGTAAAGGTAGGTGTGTACCCATATTGCTGCATAGATTAGATAACTTCACAGTGGTATTTGAAGAGAAGGCTCTAGCTTGGGCTGGTATTTTGATTTTTTTTTTTTCTCCCACTGGGAGTGCAGTAAATAGTCTTAGATTGTAAAGATGGGACTAGAAATTGAGGTCACAGTATAATATGCAAGGCTTTTTTTTACCTTGTTTACTTTATGCCAGGCTAAGTATTTCATAGCAAAAGTAAATCTTTTGTGCAGTTTGTGAAATAAATAATAGAGAGATCCTGTTAAAAAATGCATCGGCTGGCTCCCTTATTTTAATATTAATAAAGCAGGTTGCTACAATAAGATTAGCTCTGCATGGTGTTTGTCACTGTACTGCCAAAGCAATCGAGTCTAATGCCATTCCTGCCTGCAATGAATCCCCAGGAGAGCAGTACTTGTGCTGTTCTGAAACCTCGAACCAGGGAAGTTGGAGTTGAACTGTACATTATGGAAAATGCAGATTTTAATCTGGGAATCCCAAGTCTGTCTTTGCCTTTGCAGCCTTCTGGCTGCTTATGTGAAGTGCGTCCGTGTTGTTTACATGTGCATTTTCTCTGCTGTAGTGACAAATATCCAATTGCTTGGCTCATTGTGTTTATGGACAACTCAGTGACGGTATCTGTATGGTTTGATAGTCCAGTAAACTCTCCTGGTGGGGGCAAGACAGTCTGAACCATGAAGCTGCTTGGCTGGGACTGCAGTGCCCTGGGACACAATGCCTTTTGATTTAGGGGCACGGGGCTGAAGGCATCCGAGGAAGAAGAGGGATGCTGCAGTTGGCACAGAGGAGATACTGTCTTGTAAAAAAAAAAGATGAATCTGTGCCTTTGAAAGGAAAAGCCCTTTACCAACCCTGTGCCCTTGTGATTTATAGCATGCATTTATCTGAGGCACAGAGCAAAGGGAAAAAACCTGTAATCTTGAAACATTATGTGACCAGAGAAGCGTTTTTGTGCTTATAAATAATATGAACACTTGTATTAGAGGCCCAGTCAACTGAGGTGTTATTTGGGTTAAAACAAGCATTAGGGAGTTATTTGGTTGTGGTTATAGATACAGTTCTGCTGAAATGAGGCAGGATTAAGCTCTCTTCATTTTACAGTTTAGGGTCCAAATTGGAATTACATTCAAGCTTTGTCTGCCAACTGAATCTTTAGAAGATTTTACTGAATATGGTAGTCTGTGAAGCAGGAAAGCACATATGTTTCAATACCATCAAGGTCTATGGGTCCAAATATCTGCTTAAGTGTTTTCTTGAAAACAGTCATGTTTCAAGTATGCTTTTTAGATTTCCACTTTTAAATAAATGTCTTGAGAATACAACAACTGGGAGACACTTTCTTAATTATTTTGAATAAGCAGGCCTTTGCAATTCTGTTTTATTTCTGCTTATAATATGCTGTAGTAAAAAAAACTGAATTAAAGATTGTGTTTATTTTATGTGCTTTCTATAGATTGGATGAAGTTGACAGCTCAGCCTTACTTTAAACTGTGTTACTGGCATCAGAAGTAAAACAACCCATGTCTTCTTCCCTTTTTAACTTGCAATCTGCAGGAGTCCTAGCTGAAAACACAGAGGGAGAGAGGGATCTGTTTGTAAATGTGAATGATTTCTTTGTGCAAAAGCATGGGGGAGGTAGAATTCCCTCCATGTTCCTTTGGAAAGAGATAGGACTGAAATGTCTGCTTGCTTTATGCCATTAGCCAAGCAGAAATTTCATCCATAAGATGAAGGTGGTGGTGGTTGATGGTGGGGTTATTTTTCCCCTTTTCTGCAGCAGAAGGAAAGTGGGACAAGATGAACAAAAAGAAACTCCTAGCTTCTCCCTTCTTTCCAAATTACTCTAGAGAAAGGCAAAACAAGGCAAGACAGATGGTGCAGCTGTAGCTGGAAGTGCCTCTGTGCACTCCTGGCCAATGTCAGCTGGATGATTCTTTTCCTCTATCCTGCAAGAAGGGAAATGCTGGATGGAGAAAAGAAAATAGCTGGGTAAGTGCAGGCCCATGATTTTGTCCCTATATAAGGCATTGATTTACAAGATGGGGTCACCAAATACAGCCTGCACCACTTTCAGGAAGACACTGGAGGAGCTAAGTCTGTTTTTATGTTCTTTGACTTATTAGAATCTAGTCAAAATGTGATTCTTCCCATCTGGATAAAGAACATGCTTGCTGTCTCAGGAACACCGAGTCTTCCTGTGTATGGAAGATGAAAGATGAGAGAGGAGACAGCTCATCATGTCATAGCTGAGAAGCTGATATTTATTCCAGACTTCAGTACTTGTTTAGGCTGTTCTGAGTCCTAAAATTCCAAAAGATTACAGTTTCTCTTTATTGCTGGAACTTACTTCCTTTTGGGGATTTTTTTTTTCTTTGGCCTATTTGCCTTGTATGTTCTTCACTGCTGAATGATATGAAGGTGTTGAAGCTAACTTAAAACACTTTGGTATTCTTGTCTACTTTTAGTGTGAAGATGATCTGTCTAAGAGCCGGGAAGGTACAACTGAAATAGCACCTGAATATGGGCCAGAAGACAGAGTAGATGTTCGATACCTTCAGTGGTTAAATGGGAAGCTGAGGTTCCAGTGGCGGAGTTTACATGCTCAGCACCAAGAGCAGTGCAAACTTTTGCACAAGGTAAATGATGCTTCTACCTCACTGTGGCATTGTTTATTATTTAAAAGCCTTGTCAGCTAGTACTAAATGTACAAATTATTCTTGTTTGCTAGTTCTGCATTTTCTGTAGATAAGAGTGAATTATCTAAATATAAATACTCCCACCTTTTCCCCAGTGGGGCAGAACCATGAGGAAATGAAGTATGTACAGTGCTCGTAAGGTTATAATTGTTATATAAAAGTCTCTCTTTCAAGTTGGAACGTTAGTCCCTTCTGCAACTGTAGGCTGTCTCCATTTTTCTCAGAAAGTGCCTGGTAGAAGCAAGACAGAGCATTCTGGTCTCACAGACAAGAAGTAGTGATTCAGAGCTATAAGTTCATTGGAAATGTGGATTCAAATTACTGAGCACAGGTATTGAAAGTAATAGCAGCAAAATAAAATGCAGTTTCCCTTTCTGAAGTACAAGGGAGCATCTGAGCAGAACCCAGATTTATTTTAAAATTCCTGCTTTTTAAATCAGGAATCAGTAGTGGTCTCTACATTGCTAAGATTCTGATTCTGTTCCCATTTATGAGTAATGTTTATATTCCTGTCTGAAAAATCACAGACATCTGGGAGCATCATGTCTTCCTAGGATGGAAACAGCCTATAGTCCCAGAGTTGACAGTGATGGTGACTGCAGAGACAAATTTTAAAAAGTGGTTCTCAAGATAGTCCTACAAGTTACTCAGTAATGTATTCCCTAGGCCCCCTCTCTCAATTCATATTTCTTCAGGTAACTTCTACAGAGCCACTTGGTATTGTACCTAGAACCTTCACAGAGAACCTTTTTGAGACTAAGAACAGTTTTGAGAAATTTCTCCTCAAAGAACAACATTTATCAGAAAGTTGTCAGAATTGAAACAAGAGGGTTCTGAATTAAGATGCCTTCTTGGTTTTAATCCCGTGTCTGACAGCAATGCTGAAAACTATAACGAGGTTACATTTTGTTCTTTACATGAATTGATTGCTAGGGAAAATGTCTGATTGACAGCCCTAGGGAAAGATCAAGTGCTGTGTGTGCAGCATCTAAAATAACCTTTTGCTTCACGTTGCCCACTGTGAATGTGCTTTCCTCATCTGGGAATGAAGACAGCAATTCACCTTAAGTGCAGGTGCAGCCCTTGGCTTTTGCTCTGAGATTAGACAATGATGCTATTGGGAGAGGTGGCTTAATGATACAAAACTCAAATGATTGGCATCTTCTCCCTTGATAAGCTACCTCTATTTAAGGTATGCTGATTTTTATAGTAGGTGAGGCAAATATCTCCACACGTCATCATCAGTGCTCTGATTTATGTAGTGCTTGGCAGTAACAAATCATTAGGCAGCTTCAGTACCTCAGCTTGCAGTTAATGAGACCAAGGAAGAATTAAGCAGGTCAAACCTGGGGCCTGGGGTACAAACAGATACTTTCAATGTCCAGGTCAGGTACTGTTGAAGAGATGTGCTGCTTGGGCAATATGCTAAACTTATTGACAGGGAGATGACCTCCTATGAGGATTGTACTTTGAAATAAACTTGGACTTTTTTTTTCCACCTGTGGCTATCCAAGGAAGAATGTTACCTAAAGTTAAGACTGTTGCAGTCAAACCCTTATAAGAGACAGGTTAGCTATGCTGCAGTTCCCTGGACCACGATTTCCAGAATCTGGAAGAATAAGCAGGAGGGAGAATGTTTCTCTGTTCATCCAGTTTCCCAAAGCTGCCATTACTGCATTCTCCAGCAGTCATCACTGGAATAAATTGAAAGCAATAAATGGTGGTGGTGATGATTCTTACAATCAGATATATTCTGCAGTGCATGTAGAGGGCTGCCATCGTGGATATATATGTAGGAGGATAGATTGGAGCCCAGCTCCTCCGTATGTGATTGCACGCTGATATTATGCATGCTCAAATATGTATGTGCAACTGTAGGAGTTCTGTTCAGAGCTGTAATAAAGTGCAGTGCTCTGATTTATATTTTAGTCTGAATTAAAAGCAGGAAAATTGGAAGGTAACTGACTTTGGAAGGAACTTCATTATAGTGCCACATTAATGTTAACATTTACAGTAACACAAAATATAACACACTTATACAATTCAGCAGCTGCATAAACAATAATTGATATTTCCTGACTCTTTATAGAGAAATTTTGACTGTGCTACTGCATTAATTTTAAAACTTTTAAACTAGTCTGCTATGTGTTAGAAGACTGAGCTGACCCAATATGATGTCTATATGAGCTACTGCTTTTCTCATATAAACCAGAGAGTATGCAAAAGGCTAATGAGTGTTATGTTTTTAATTATGCTGACAGATTTACATAGGGCTTTCTCTACAAAATGATAATTATGGCTTTTACTCGCTCTGTTTAATAACTTAACAGGTTATGTATCTCAACTGTGGAACAGTCTTATTTACAGCTGATCACGAGCTATATTTTTTTGCCAAGTAGTGGCGACACTTCCACAGATTTCATTCTGTGACTCACACAGGCTCTAAAATACCATATTCTCTATTTGGGGCTTTCTGAGAAAACCACATCACCCTTGGAAAATATGTTCTTATTTGGGAGATGACTACTTTTCCACTCTGTAGTTTTTTTAGTATGGATATTGCTACTGGAAGTAAGAATTGTAGATAGAGGATCCAGCAAGAGGCTACCAAGATAGCCAAGGACTAGCCTAGTTGGGCATGACCTCCAAGAAGGGGTTGAAGGAGTTTGTTCTGGTGGAGAGGTCACCTAATAGCTGCCTTCAGCTATTTGATGGGTAGTTACAAAGATACATCCATGGTCTTCTCAGCAGTACCAGAAGATGAAAGGGAAGGGGCTACTGATTACAGCTTGGCAGGTTCAGGCACATTAAAAAAAGCTTCTCTGGGGTGATGGGCAGCATTGGAGCCAGTCACCAGAGATGCTGAATGGGCTCCATCCTCAGAGGTTTCCAAGGCTCACATACACAAAGCCAGTAGGCCTTGTTAGCACAGGAGGTAGGACTAAAGACCTCCAAAGGTCTTTCCTGTTTCTATGATTTTGTGGAAAAACTTTGAATCGCTTGGGTGATCAGGGACATGTACTTTCAGGTTAGATGCGATGACTCACATCTTAATGAAATAGTACTGTACTGCCTGAAGAAAGGGAAAGGGAGCAGTAGGAGGGAAATATGAGGAGGAAAGAGGCAAAAATAAATGACTGTTCTTTCTCTAAAATACACAAATGATGACTGAAACTGATTGCCGGGGGCCTTCTCTACTCTGTCCCGCCTGCAGCCACTGAAGGTTGATGGTGTGAAGTTCTGCAGTAACCAGTGGAGGTTAATGAAGAGGAAAGCCCCTCTGGAGCTACAGCCAGTTGTGTGTTGGGAATTGCTTGTTAGGTGGTCTGACTGCCTGTTCCTCTTTGCTAGCTCTTCTCATGAGCTGCTTTGCAGTTCCTTCAGCTCCCAGAAGGCATGTTGAAGCTTACAGATACACACATGTCCTGCTGCAGGAGGAAGACTTTGTCAGGGAAACCTTAACCTCTCTGTTGCTGAGGAATTTCTTAGCCTGAGGCTAAGAGCTGTTGAATAACATTATAATGGCTTCTCAACATGGGCAGGTTGGCCTGCTTTGAAAGTATAATATAGTGATATCATTATAATTCCCTTGACATTCTCAGTGGTACATATTTACCTGATATACCTTCAAATATATGGAAGCATGAAGGATAAATTACTGTGTTAAGGCATGCCTTTTGGTTCCTTCTATTCTGTCTCTTCCTCTTTCTGTCAAGTGCCAGAGGAATATCTGTCTGTCTGGTTTTTGATCCCTCTTGAATTCATAGGGAAAAGCAGCTGTTTTTAGTCAGGCTTTGAATTACCACTTTGCCTTAAAAAATGTGAATGAGAAGATTTGCATAGTTTCAGAAGAACAGGTAGAAGCTTGTATAGTTTAAAACTGGCGTTGTTTTTTGGGTCTGTTAAATGCACTGTGCCGCTGTCATGTGAAAAGAAATAGTGGAACAAGTGAGTTTCTGCAGAACTGACGGATTTCTTGTGAGTGTTTTCAGCTATTCTCTTCCCACTAAAGACTGGGACAGAAGGTTAGATTGTGTTCAGAGGTGAATTTGGTTATGCAGGTGAACATCTGATTGTGGACTAAGTAAGTTAGTAGAATATAATGATCTTAAATGGAATTCTCGATAACAGAAGAAGAGTTTAACATAATTGGCAATATCAGATCATGGTAAAATGACAATGTTAATATGCTTGGAAACTGTAAGAGCAGGAGTTGTATTCTGTCAGTAAGAATGCAGAGCAGTGCTAGGAAATACGTCCTATGGACGGAGTGGTTTCTTGTGCCTTCTCTGAGATAAACAATATAAAATAAGATGTATTACAGTGGATTGGATTGGTCATATCTATATATCTGATGTTGTAGCAAAATGACCAAGGACAGAGTCTTGATCTCTGAATAACAGAGGGCAGAGACTGATGCTGGGTGATTACCTCATTGTCAGTAATTCATGAGTGAGCTAAACTGCAATTGTAGATGCATCTCTGTCTTGGCATGAAGATTCTACCATGTTATTCTGTAAATTACTACAGTGGATAATTATATCTTTTCTGTCTTGAGATATTTGGTTTTAAAAATATTTTGTTTTTTCCTAAAGTGGATTTGCCATTAGATCTCAACAGCACATTCTTGAAAGCAGGAGAAGTTTTTCCCTCTCATGGAAGTACATGTGAACTATGAATGAGCTCCCTTTTCATCTTCTCTTAGGTGAATTAGACAACCTGATCTCCCTGCAGGGTGTCTGAGCTTAAAGGCATTTAGGAGTTGGTGCTGGAAACTCCCCTGAAGTGGTGTGCAGTGGGGGGGCTGTGCCAGTACTCGCATGCAAAGGTTAGTGTAAAGTTAAACCTGCTGCCTCCTCAGTCCATCCCAGTCCACACAGCAGCAGCTACACATGCTCTTGTCTCTCACCCTCTCACCTGCTGCTTTTACCTTGGTACTGTTTTCCTCTGTAAGCATTGTTTCATCTTCGCTGTGCTGTGGTTATCAGTAACAGACTGTAAAAATAGAAATACTGGATTATACCAGTTACAAATACTGGATTATTCTACTATCCATCTGGTCTGGTCTCAGGGGAGAACTTCATTCTTCTGGTGTTACATCTTTAGAGTGTTTCTTTCGGGCTTTAGCCAGTGATGCTGCTGCAACAACATACTTTGGAAGAGGGGCTGAAATTCATCCCTGGAGCTGGAGGCCCAAAGGTTTGGCAGCCAGAGTTACGCAAGAATGCAGCAGGGAGACTAGCGGCAAGCAGAAAGGAAGAACGTTGTGTGGGGAGGTGCTCTTTTATTTTTAAACTCGCATAGCTCTGCACATGTGACAGATGGTTGTCACCAGAAGTGAGTTTTGGAAAGGAACGCTAAAATATTCTGAAGTTTCAGGGAAGGTTTGATAATTACCCAGTGCCTGACAACTTTAAAATAGTTGTCAATACCCAAGCGTATGATAAAGTTCATATTAGAATAAAGGAAGAAAAGCAGGAAATATTCTCTGTCTTCTGGCAGAAATATTAATGAAATATGAGCGATTGTCTGACAAATGTGCACTGCTATCTTGTTTGGCAGCTGCAGTTATTACAGTAACAAAGGGATCAGCTCTGAATAGGAGGAATTGCTTTTTATTGTTCCCTTGACTAACTTGGGAAGCTTCTTCGTGAAGTAATTGATGATACCATCACCAGTGCAGCTGGGACAAGGTCCCAGTAAGCGAAAGCCAACAATATACAGCAGCCAAAGAGAAACTTGCTGTAACTTGGTAACATTTTCTGCTTTAAAGAAAATATGCTGAAGGTATCCTTTACATCTGTTAAGACTTCTGTTATCTGGGTAAATGGTTTTACCTTTTATGCGATGTGCAAACGTGTGTGTAGTGTAAGGAAAAAGACTTTAAGACAGGATGAAGAACAAAATTTTTCAGTTTTACTGTGGCAGCAGCATTAGCAATTCCTGCATGTGGTTCTGGTAACAATACCAGATGGAGCATTTTGTGAGATGATTGTGGAGCATGATCATAATTTCCTGCAGGCTGTTTTAAATAGGCCTGTTGTATTGGTGGTAGTAGTTACATTTGTACTTGTCCATTGGGAATGGGCTTGTAACCACTTGTTCACATCACCATTCCAATCCATGCAGCCGTTAAGTGGTGACTAATGATGTTGTTAATGATCTGGTCCTTGTACTGACAAATATCTTTTAATTTAATCTGTTCCAGATTCATTTATTCACTAATGGCTCTCATATGGACCAGATCCTTGGACATTTTTCTGTCATAGAAACAGATCTCATTAGACAACCAGAGAACTACAAGCAGGTAATGCTTCTCCTGTAATTCTTGGATGCCTGGTATGCTTACACATTGTTACAAGGAGTACAGTCTTCTGCTGAACACTTTTTTAACTTGGTTTCCAACAGAAATAAGGGCTCATATATCAGTCAGTCAGTTTCCTCACTTGTATTCACCACATGGTTTCTTCCAGTTTGAGAGAACATAGACACAAAGGTATTAGGCTAAGTTTTGTAAAAGCTGGTGGACAGGGAGAGGGGAGAGACTTGACTGAAAGTGCCACTGATGAAAAGGCTCATAAAATGAAACATTCCAGATGAGTTGGCTGACAGCTGTTGTATGCTACCAGTAACCAGATTTGGGTCAGCCAGGCAATGTCTGCCTGTGACCTTGCCTGAATGCTATGTCAGTGAGAACGTAGAGAGATCTGATTTATCTCTCCAGGAGAGCCAAAGCTCATCGGATGCTAACACTCATTAGTTCTAGAAATTACACAAGTTGACAACCTTTTTGGTAGTGAGGGGCTTTATTTTGAGAAATATTTAGAAGCATAGAATGGTTGAGGTTGGAAGGGACTTCCTGGTCCAACTCCCGTGCTCAAGCAGTGTCCCCCAGAGCAAGCTGCCCATGACCATGTCCAGGTGGCTTTTGAATATCTCCAAGGATGGATGCTCCACAGCTTCTCTGAGTGACCTGCTTCACGCTTGGTTGTTTGCACAGGAAAAAGATGTTTCCTTATGTGTTCAGACAGAACCTCCTAGGACCATGTAATTTTTTCTAGTGTACTGTCTTGCCCTTAAGAATATATTTCTGCTTCTCTCAAATACTCAATTATTATAGATGTTTCAGTTTATTATTTGAGGTAGTACAATTCACTTGTTTTAACACAATATAATACATTTATTTGTAAAACAAGTTTTTTAAAGTTCATTCTATGTGAAACTGAAACAAGACTGAAATTTTAAGCTTAGCCTTAACAAAATCAATATTTGGCAAACTTCTGCAGTCTGTCTAAATCTGTTTATTCAAGGAAGGCGTTCTTTCTGCTGCTACCTTAAGAACAGATACGGGCATTGTAAATACCACCCACAAAGAAATTCAGAAAAGTAGATTTCAAAATGGGAGATAGTCTTATGTTCAAAACCCCTAAAGTAAAGTGCACGTTAATCTTTCATTACTGAGCATTCCTTGGATGAGTGGTTCACATCTAGCCTCTTGATAAGGCTCAGCTGTTTATAACATTTTCCTGGAAAACTATTGTTTTTCTAGAGCAAATGGCTGTGTCAGCTTGAGCTTTCTTTTTCATTTCTGCTTCACGATCCCCCTCCTGTGAATTGCTCAGAAGCTCAGAACACGCAGCAGCGCAGTCCTCTGAAGCCTGTACTTTATAATTTGCAGAGCTTAGCAAATGCCCAGAAAGGTCTTGGTGGGCTGGTACTGGAAACTTCCAGGCTGTATAGAAGGACTTTGTAACTACCTTTTTCCAAGGCCTTACCCTGAATGTGTCACTGATCTGTTACAGTAAAGCATAATGATACTCCAATAAAGCCTGTTTGGCTTTGATTGCACCATTAATGAAGCATTCCAGGAGTTTTCTTTCTTGCATGCTGCCCCCTTTCCTGGATGTCTGCTTCAGGTGTGCTGTTCAGCAGAGACTCAGGATAAAATGAAAAGAATCTTTTTGTATTTTAAACATGGTTAGGTAAAGTGCTATAGTCAGGAAGGTTTAGTGGGCAGCTGTGTTGCTTAGTTAAAATCTGTGGAGGCTTCATTCCACCTTTCCCTGGCTTAAACAGCAAATGCATGAAACACAGAACACCCCTTCAAAACAAGGGTGATCACTGAGAGGGGCAGAGGCAGGGTGGCAGAAGATGTTTTCTTCAAATGAACTGAGTCTCCATCTGCAGTTCCTGACCTCTAACAGGTGCAATCCCAAACAAGTTCCAGTGCCTGTGGGTTGGAAATTCTTTTCTTATGTCACTTACTGCTTGTACTGGTCCAGAATTGGAACTGTTTGTCAGCATTATCAGCTGTGAAATTCTTAACCTCTTGAAGCTCTCAAACCTACTCAAGAAAAGGGGTTCCTCCTAAGTTGTCTTCTTGTGCTTGTTTCTAAAATAAACAGGAAAAATTGCAGGAAAACATTGCAACACTTCACTATACATATTTTCAAGAGACTTAAAATTCTTACTGTCATCATTTGAGCAATCTTTGTAGTTTTTGTCTCCCCTTATCCTTATTTTCCAAAAGCAGCTTCCAGAAGTCAGATACTGTGTATGTACAAGAGCCTGAAATAACAAGGTGATGCAGCATTTTGAGTGTCAGTGTTCCAGATGGATATAATAGTTGATATGCAAAGTGATGCTTCTTTGGAAATTGTAATAAAAAGCCTCTAATTTTCAAATACCTTGATAAGATTAAGTAAATTATGCATATTTGAATAGCTTGGTTTTCAAATATTGGTGCAGATGGCAGCACTCTACCAAATGTTTTTTCCAAAAACTGTGAAATAATTTTTTCTCTTCCAGTAATGTGACATTTCTGTTAATGTTACCTCAAATAACAACCTGCTGCATGGATCAATACAAAGAGCAAGCATGTCAATATGTCTTACTGTAATGCATCCCTGTTGGTGGATGGTGTTACGAATTCCTTTTTGTGTTAGGCATCGTTCGAAGGATAGAAATGCAAAATGGATCGAAGTGTCAGGAATTGGCTATCACAGAAAAGACATTGGGCTGTTTTTATTGAAGCCTAAAGTTCATTTTCATCAAAAATATCCTGAGAGATAAGTTGTTCTGGCCTGTAATAAAATGGGAGATGTTTAGTCTGACAGGAAAAGTGTGATAGGATATAGATAGCTGTGAAGTTAAACATCAGTTTAGGAAATGGAAAAGTCATGGTGATACTTTTCTACAGAAGTTGCACATTAACTTGTTTAAAATGTTCTTCCCTTGGATTTCTGACTATAAAACTCTTTTAGTGCTTTTATGTGTAGGGATTTCACTGGACATTATTATTCTTTTATCATCATAAATGTCTTTGTCAGATTCATAGAGCTGGAAGTTTTCCAAGTGTAATAGTTTTTATTATGTTTTTCTCTAGTGAGGCATGATCAAAATGCCAACTTTTCCTAAGGTTTGGACTGGCTGTGGTTATATACGTTATATATGTGTGTGGCTGTAAGTTGGAGGTCAGTGCTGTGTTTAGTTCCTGTGCCACCAAGGCGTGTCCGTGAACAGGACGTGCCGCTATTTCAGCTGGTGTTCAGTTTCCAGTGGAAGTACATGGGCATGCTCATGTTAGCTCTTGACCTCTACATGCATGTCCTTCCTTTCCCAAGATGCTGCCGTGTCTTCTGAGGCACTCCCTGGCCTGCAGATTGTTGCATGAGAATTATGCTGGTAGTGATTTTCCCGTCAGAAACGCCTCGGTGGTGGTGGTTGTCGTGGAGCCATTTGCCTGCAAGGCTGTGCAAGAGTGTGCAAATTTGGGACAGTTACAGCGTGGCAGCATACAACAGCTGCTGCATTGCTAGGGAGCTCGGATGTTCATTGTGCCTTTTGTTGAAAACCTCTTGTATATCACTTAGAGTGCACGAGAACAAAGTCTAGAGCATTTTGAATGTCTTGTGTGTTGGTACATTCTTCAAGCTGTATCAATACTGCTTGTTTTCAAATGGTTCCCTTAGCCAACTGGTGTGAGGCTGGGGGACTGCTGCTGTTTGCCAGCTTGAAATATCTTGGGGCAGAAGTGGAGTTGTGGTCTCTGGCATTGAGGCTAAAATAGTTGGGAAGCATACTGGGGACAGCATGCAAAAGAAGACGTGGCTGAGGATAAGCAATATCTGCCCCCGACTTTCCAGGGCAGTATGGTCTGTCTTTGAGGATGTGGTCGCCTTCCTTTTGTGACTGAGAACCGTGGTTGTGATGTGCGACCAATTGGGTAGTTTCTCATCACTCTGAGCATCGTATGACTCCATTTTTGTCTATGAAGCCCATGTACCTTAATTCTACATTGCAGTGTCACCAGTTCTGATGTTTTACCTTGAGCTCGAAAAAATGTGTTGCACTTAAGAGTCATTATATTAACTTTCTCATCAAATTGTTGCTATATGAAGATCAATGAACTTTGAAGGAAAGCAGCCTAGTCCTTCAGTTTCTTCTGTCTCTTCATATACTGCTTTATATGTGTAATTCATTCTTGCAGGCTTTGTGATTAGCAGAGATTGAAAGTTGTAGTCAGAACTTGGGTCATTGGTACAGTGCTGGCAGTGCTGGAGTGATCATTGAAATTGTAATGAGTAAAGATGACACCTTTAAATGCCAGTAGATCAATTTACTGAGTGTGACAGCAAATAAATAATGCAGCTGTCTGCCAGATGGACGTGCAGAGAAATTCATAGAACTTGGGTGTGAATAGCTAATAACTTTATTTCAGAATTTTATGAAAAATATTTATACTTGTTGATCATTAACACATTTTAAAGGGGATTTATTCAGCTTAAGTAACTAAGGTCTTGGTAGCAAGTAAGTAAGAGCAAACAAATTGTCTGGTTTTGCATACATAATGCATGGTCAATTCCGTGGCCATAAAAAATTCAGGTGAGCTCCAAGCAGCAGGGATTGGGTGTGATGGAATAGGATAGGATGGTATGGGCACAGGATTGATCTTTCTGGACTGAATGTGTCAGGGAAGGATGTCAATGTGCAGTATGTGCGTTGCTTCCTTTGGTCAGATGGGACTCCATAATTTCATATTGGGACATTCAAGGAGTAAATGATCAGGTTGTAAGATGAGTTGACTGTGGACCCCAAATCTTGTGGCAGTTTCCATTTAAAGTATCTGTCCCAGATGGCTGTTGCAGATGGGTGACACAACAGGTTTATTCTCTGTGAGTAACAGCCCATGGTTTGAATTCGTGCAAAGCACTGAAGAGCTTCTGTTCTTTTCGGAACAAGTATGTTCAGACTGGGAGCACTAGGAACTGATACACTTTGGATTTTCAAAAATGTTGAACATGCATT